TACACATTGAGCATGAATGTTGGTTCTCCAAACATCATCTGTTGGTTCTCTGTGTAATTGCAGCTGATCTGGTAATAACAGAGCAGCAACCGTGGGTGGTCAATCTGATTTGATTTGATTTGATTTGATTTGATTTGAAGATAAACATCAAAGCAATCCTGGCATTACTTGCATTTGTAACTGCTTGCGACTGACTTCGCCAATGCACCGACGAGCGAGTTCATGAGTGATTGTTAAACGATTTTAATACTCCTCCCTAATTGAAGCAAACCATTTGTAAACATTGCAGATTGGAACCGCTTTTGACAGTTCGATTGGAATCATAACAGTGTCTCCGCTGGTCTCTTATTGCAGTGTTTCTAGTTAAGTCGTTTTTCAATCGACATAGAATTCCATGTTTCTTGCCGATTTTTTAGATGACATTGTCAATGTGAGAGTTGAACTTAAGTTTGTCATCAATAATCATGCCAAGATATTTAATCTCCCGAACGCAATCAATAGTCTCATCATCAATTACAACAGAGACGTTCTCATTTACTCTATTCCGCGATATTACCATACATTTAGTTTTACTTGTATTCAATTTCAACTGCTTATACTCATCTACTTAGAGAACGCAAATCTTCATTCAAGTGTAAAACGGCATCATCTAAATTCCTAGCTGCAATGAATAACACAGTATCATCTGCAAAAAGATTAATGTCGCAAAATCGTAAAACACGTCGCAAGTCATTAATATACATAATAAATAACAGGGGCCCTAATACACTTTCCTGGGGCACTCCAAGGTTATTCCCCACGGGACTGGAAACAGAATCATTAAAAACAGTCCGTTGAGTTCTGTCAGATTAATAGCTTTTAAACCATTTATATGCAATACTCGCAATTCGAAAGCGCTTGATTGATCTTAACAATAAGGGCCTAGAAATTGTTTCAAAAGCGCGTTCAAGATCCAAAAAAACAGCAACAATCGTATCTTTACACTGCAAGTTATTTTTCCACTTCGCTAATACCAAATTCAACGCGGTTTCACAAGAAAACAAAATACAATTCGGCAGCAGGGATTTGTTCCTAAATTATCTTGCAACCCTTGCTAGAAGCTAGCATTTCAAATGACTTTTATTTTTGATTTGATTTACGTGCAAAATAATAATTGATTGCATCGCAATATTTTGCACATTTCTTGGTGCCATTCATTAGCCAACGAAGATAGAGTTAGAATCGAGATAAGAATATTGAATATGATTCCAAAAACTAGTTGAATTTGAGAAGCACACAAAACATAAAGGTGATTAAATTCTGTTCGATTGCCTATACTATCAAATTTATTCCAGTAAGAATAAGAAATCATCGGAAAAAATCGAATATGAATGTTCAATTGGCTCAGATTTTGACAGTTCATTTGGCTCAAAACATTTTCTCCGCCCATCTCTCCCTCTGAGTATTTCTATTTGCAATGATTCATTAATAAGGTCCAGCAAGATGTAGCCAATGACATGAAAGCAATCTTGAATAACTCTAGCATTAACTTTATCTACTCAAGCCGATTTTCCTAATGAAAAACAAATAACTCTAAGTTTATCTAATGTAATTGGGTGCAAACCTTCGGGGGAGAGGTAGCTCATCGATTCTTCCGGTTCGCCTCCTAGCATCGTGCTATAAGGTACCAGGCGATAACCAGGGTAGTTGATCGATAGCTCGATGACGTCATTTCGTTGGCGTCTGCAATGAGAAATGCTCATAGCAGGCGTTGACGATGGGACGTTGTCGAGTTGTTGAATAGCAACTATCGTAGTAACTCACCGATTACCTGTCGATCTGCCAAATTTGGAAAGACGTCTACATTGAATTGTCTCATATAATAATATTGCGCCCACTATATCACAAGAAATTGCGAGTAGATGAGTGGAATGGAGATAAGTTAAGCATTGGGTACATGACCAAGTCTCCCCTGGGTGGTGCCAAAAGATTAGCGCAATAGAATCATCAAGTTGCCATAAGGCACGGATGAGACTATTGCAATTTGAGCAACGGTATTATGTGATATGAGGGGCTCGGTGGCCTTAGAGCAACCGTTTTTGCTTACTGAGCAGAACATCATGAGTCTAATCTCAGGCCCATCCACATTCAAGATTCGTCAATCGTTTTATTTGTTAATATGACTACATGGTAATAACAGCAACTCGGTGATTAAAAAGGTGCTCGTCTGCCTAGTGGCAAACGTTTTTGCTTACTGAGCAGAAGACCGTGGGTTTAGTCCCAAGCTCTTTCGCGTTATATGAAAGTTAGGACATCAATTCAGCTTATCGTTTACCAAAACGAACCCTGTTGCAAACCCAACCCTCTTATCCAACATCCCAGTGATTCGTCGTGGAAGTACAAAGGTGTTCTCGGCTTCGATCAAAGTGAGTGTCATGTCAACACAATCCTTCCCATTCTTTTCTTAACCTGTGTTCGGGCGCGGCCGGCGCTGGTATTGCCTAATTTAAGATCACCAGTTTTTACACATTGAGGATGATTGCTAGTCCCAAGCATCGTCTATTGGTTATCTGTGTAATTACCTCGGGGCCTCATAGCCTTGTCAGTAAAGGGGCCTCATAGCCTTGTCAGTAAAGGCACGGTATTATCAAGCCGGAGGCGGCGGGTTCGATTCCCGGTCAGGTCGAGGGAATCTTTCGGGTTGGAAATTTTCTCGACTTCCCTGGGCATAGAGTATCATTGTGCTTGCCACACAATATACAAATTCATGCATTGGTATTGGCATCGAAAGCTCTCAATTAATAACTGTGGAAGTGCATTTAGAACACTAAGTTGAGAGCACGCAATAAGCTAATATGCGCTAAGCAATAAGCTTGAAATGCGAACAAGAAGAAGAAGAAGTAATTACAGCTGATCTGGCAGTAACAGAGTAGCAACCGTGGGCGGTCAATCAAGCTCAAGCAAGCTCAAGCTCAAGCTGTAATTGGGTGCAAACCTTCAAATCTACAACTATTATTAACTGGCTGTTTTATTTCGTCAGGTTCATCGACCAATTCAATGGATTGATTAATCAATTAAACACTGTCTACTAAATAATTATTAAACTTAGATGCAATTACTTGTTCTGACTGTTCTAATGTGCCATTAAAGGTTATGGACTGCGGTTTGCAACTACTAGGTTTTAATAAAGATTTCAAAATTTTCCATAACTCTTTGCTGTTGTTTTGATGCTGATCAATCTTCCTTTGAACATATTCACAACGAGTTTTCTTTATCGATTGTGAATACTTATTACGCGCGATTGTGTACCTACTCCAATGATTGTCATTATTTGATTTACAAAACTTTTTGTACCATTTGTCCCCTTTCCGTTTAAAACGCAAAAGATCATAATTGTAAAAACTCGAACAGCTGTTTTTACTAGTTGATTGGTACACGTTTTCAAAGCGTTTTTAAGACCAGCTGTAGATTCATCTAAGTTACCGGCCGCGAATGGAAAATCCACGCTCCTTTCAACAAAGATTCGAAACTGCTTGCTTCGATTATTTCCTCCAGTTTTCAATTTTACAAAATTATCGTTATCGTTAACATGACATAAGACATTAATCACTAAGGTCTCATGATCGGTTATTTTCAAATCAGTTTCCGTAACTGTACAAATGGAATCAAAATGGGAATATACGTGGTCAATTAAAGTTCTACTGTGCCTGGAAATACGCGTATACTCATTTGCCGTTTGCTTTAAATTGAAAAATTCAGCTAAACGCTTCAAATGATTCGAATTATGGTAATCACGCCAATTAATATTAAAATCACCAGCCAATATATTTAATTTACTAGAATCAAGGAATGTCTCGAGCCAGTTCTCTAAAACTTCAACAAAACGCTGGCCACTAGAACTGGGAGAATGATACAAAACACCATCATTACCTATCTTCATGCCACGTACAACTGTAATTCCCAAGAACCAGTTGCCATCAATAACTTCGTTGGTACGCCAACACACTAGCAACACCGCCAGTGACGCATTTCACGCCAAATCGAATCGAAGCTGGCAACACCCTCTCAGATTTAAATGATTTTTTTTTATGTGTAGACTTTAACCAACCGGTGGAAACTAACGATAAATTGGCTCACTACTTGACTAGCCTATTGGTCCCAAGCAAATCGATTAACGTACCCCATTCTAGTATAAACTCCAGTACTACACTATGTTTGTTTTGATTAGCTATGAAAGTTTGACAGATAAAATGAGGGGTTAGTGGATTTTCCTATGTTTCGAGGGGTGAATCGATTAGCTTGGGACTGAAGATAGTACTAGAGCAGAGCCAAAAAGTTGAGCACGTTTCTTCGGGACCTTCTAGTTTTAGAGTTACCTCTATGCTTTAACTAAATAAGCACTTTTGCATACTCAGTTTTTCATTTGAGCCTTATTAAAAGTCATCCATACAACTCATTTTTGTAGGAGTTGTCATTTTTCCATAATATTTTTTTTGAAAAAAAATCAGCAGAAATAGTTTGGCCCTTCTCAAATGTTAGTCTAGATAAATTTTGGAAAAACTGAGTATGCAAAAGGGTACTCAACACCAATACTTGTCACTGATGAATTCTACAAGTAGTAGACGAAATACGCGCATCTGTCAAAAGATAAATAATTATAACGGAATTAAAAGGAAATAAATCAACACACTCAAAAAGCTCTTCATAAAGGAATTATATTAAGAGTTCCTACAAAAAGATATAATCCATTTGTTTGGTTAGAGCAATTAAAAGCATTCCGGACATTTGTGTCATTGAATTTATGACTACAAGTCTTGTTCTTCCAAAGACTGAAATGACACCAAATAGAATCGCATCGACCGCCTGAGCTCGAAATAGACGAAAATAAAAGTCTTATCTTATCACTGTGATGGACTTCTCTCTTAGTAAATGAGTCACATACAACAGAAAGCACCGAAAAAGCGCGGAAAATGCTCCCGTATTTGTTTGTATTTGACAGGTTATCTTGCTATTTCTTACAGAACAAGCCACAGATGCCAGTTTGGCGTCGGAAAATTGGGCATTGAATATGGAAATTTGCGACCTGATAAACGAGTCCTCGGACGGGGCGCGGGACGCTATGAAAGCGATCCGGAAGCGTCTGGTACAGAATGCCGGCAAAAACTACACCGTAATCATGTACACACTGACCGTGCTGGAAACGTGCGTTAAAAACTGCGGCAAAGCGTTCCACGTACTCGTTGCCAACAAGGAATTTGTGCAAGAGCTGGTAAAACTAATTGGACCGAAGAATGACCCACCGCCCATAGTGCAGGAAAAGGTTCTCAGTTTGATACAGATCTGGGCGGATGCGTTCCGCTCGCAGCAGGATCTGAATGGAGTGGTTCTAGTGTATCAGGAACTCAAGAACAAGGGAATCGAGTTTCCCGCCACCGATTTAGACTCACTGGCGCCTATCTATACTCCGCAGAGGGTGAGTGGCCGGCTTGTATGAATCGAACAGTCATGGTGGTTAATAATTGATTAATATATGGTTTTATTTCTAGAGTGTCCCTGATGGAGCCGCTACAGAAAATACGATGTCAGTCTCACCGCATCACGCGTCCCAAGCACCAAATTCACCGGCTGTAAGTTGAATGCTTCATAAAATTGGTACATGTGTACTAAGAACCTGTTTGATTTCAGATGCCACCGCCATCATCAATGTCACAGGATCAGATTGCCAAGCTTCAATCCGAACTGGATATCGTCACTATGAACATGACCGTACTGGGAGACATGCTGACCGAATTGAAACCCGGTCAGGAAGACCCCTCCGACTATCAACTGCTGACCGAACTGGTAACCACGTGTCGGTAAGTCATTCCGTCGGTTTCAACTTCCCCCCGAGATCTACATCAAGTTACGAATTTTCAGAGACATGCAAAACCGAATCGTCGAACTGATAGGAAAGGTAAATCACGACGAGCTCACTGCGGAACTGCTGCGGTTAAACGACGAACTGAACATCCTTTTCGTGCGGCATGCCCGTTTCGAGAAGAATCGCGATCCGAAGACGGCATCCTCGACGACCCCGTCGGCTATCTTGGGAGCGGCGATGGGTGTGCCCACTGACCTGGTAGCGTCGACCGTCACCACCGGCGACGATAAGAAGGAATCGTTGATCGATCTCAGCGACGAAGCCAGCGGAGGTGGTACTGCCCTGAGCTCGCAACTGGCTGGACTTAGTTTAGGTGGTCCGGGAGCCACGGCTTCGTCTCAGCTGTCACAGTTGAGCAGTGTACCGGCACAGTCGGGGGCAGCGGCGGTGGCGGCGGCCGGGAACAACAATACCAAAAGAGGTCTCCCACCGGATGTCGTGTCCGATGAGTTTGATATGTTTGCACAGTCCCGGAATACGACTGGGTGAGCAATGTGAGCGTGGGGAGAAGGGATTCGAAAAATACTTATGTTTTATTGGTTTCAGGGAAAACACAAAGGATACTCCAAAGTTGGATCTGCTGGGACAACCCAAACCGACCCCCTTGGTATGTAGGATCAATATATTTTTGAATGTTTTTTTTTATTCGGGTATCCATACTGCGTGTTTTCTGTATTTGGTAGAAGTTGAGTTGATGTGTGTGGACGTTTTCTATTTTGCATTATATTTTATTATGGACGATTTGATTTTGAGGGTTCGATACATTCATTTTCAGACAAAAACATTCAACAAAACAAACAACACAACCACGTCTAAAACAAACACAAAAAGTGATTCGAAGATTGGTGAAATAATAGGTAGTCTTTCAAATTGTACCTATACTGCCGCTATTCGAATAACAGTCCTATGTAGATAGGAAATCCATAGGACATGGGACTGTTATGCGAATAGCGGCAGTATAAGCACGCATGAAAAATATGAAAGGAGAAATACTAATGTGGGCATCTATAGTGGAATACCTGTATTAAGAAAGAGAGAAGGAATAGTAATTTCCATTTAATTCCACTACCTTAATTCGAAGACCACAAATCAAGAAGACTGGCAACTCTGCCAAAAATCAGAAGACAGTAACGGCAACGCCTCTTCTGAGCAAAAGTGGAACCTGTGTATGATGGTGTGTGTGTGTTTTAATTCACGAGTGCATTCACACACATAGGTAGAAATAAATAGCTGTCAATTAACCACTTCATTCGAGCAGTTAACATGAAGTTTACTACCACTCGAACTTTGAAATAAAACTAGAACCACGAGAAAAGTAGCCAACATTTGTGCGTTTCATAAAAAAATAGAAATTAGTTGGTCCAGTTTTGTGAAATCGCTGGTAGAAAGTCACGCCAAAACTACTTGAAAAACTAAACTGGTCAATTATTGGTTTTGGTATGATTGTCGTAAAATGTGTTATGCTGACAACGATTAAAATTCCAGCTGAAATTGAACAGATGCTTAAGTAAATTTGTGTTGAAAATTAAAACTATGGCAATGACACCGTTCACAGTAATGGTGGGACCTTCCTTGATCATTAATTTGCTATTTCAGAATTATCTTCCACTTTTCCTAAGCCATTTAGTTATGCGTTTATGGGCATTCATATGGTGCATTAGTAAAATGCATGCCCGTTCCACACGGCTTTGACACCTGGCCACAGCGGTTTCATGTTCGGACAACATCTAAAATGGAAATATATTCTTTATCAATACGTACCATTTGGGATTGTAGTCCTTCAACCTTTCATTTTCATTTTCTCCAACATTAGATCCTGCTACACCTGCCTTCCGTTGGATCGTGATGTAGGTAACGGATCTTTCTTCTTTTTGAATCCGTGAATTTTCAGCAGCTTCCGAATGACGGTAGTTCAACTGAATGGTGATGGAAGCTGCCAATTCCTTATAATTGATTGCTTCCAACAGGCAAAATAAACAATATTTCGGTTCCTCGTTTACAAGTAAAAGTTACTTTCACTAGGTATCGATCCGAGTTTCAATCCACTATTTGATCCACCATGACAAATTTTTCGGTTTGGATTCGGAAAACCATCTGGGATTAGGATTCAAATTGCCGTGAAATTTTGTAGAGCAAAACAAAAACAACAACGAGTACCGTGTTATGATTATTCGTTTCGGTGAAATTAGGTCACACACAGTCACTGTTTATGCGCAGTCTAACACTTGTGCTTCAAAGTTCTACCTTTGATTGACAGACGCGCTGTTATCAGTGACGTTTGAAATTTGTATGGGAGAAGGGAACAGTTGCCAGTCTTCGCTTTTTTTTTTATTTTACATTCTTCCGGAGCTTTCTTCCCGGTCAACCGAGGTATAAAATTCCTGCCCAGGATTTTGAAAATTCTAGGAGCGGATGGACCGAGATTTTTGTTTCGAGCGTGCAGGATCGAATCGCGACGTGCTTGCTCCGGTGAAGCCATTATGTAAACAAATGAACTTATCATGATCCTGATAACCAATGCCTTCTATGATTCTATACACTCTTAGTTTGATTCAGTGAAATTTTGTCTTAATGGCAGCGTTTTTAATGTGTCCGGATTTTTTCGTGTTCAACCTTTAGTAGGACTTAAAAAATTAAGATCACTAACATATAAAGATCATGATAATTCTGGAACATAGACACTTTTTTAAGTGGACTTAAAAATATCCTAATTCTTGGGCTTGTAAAACGGCTTTAGATTTGCGGCATTATTATTTTTTTAAGATTGCGTTTAGAAAAATACTGTTTTCTGGGACTTGGAAATCAAAATTTAGATCTCGGACTTAAAATATCCGGGGCAGAGGTAGTACATTTTCATGACATTTACCACCTCTGATCAGGGACCTCCATTCGCAAGTAGAAACGATAAACTTTTTCATACAAGCGTTCATACAAACAATGCTGTTTCGACTTGAGCAATGAGGCCCAGGATTTTTTAAATGTTTCAACTTCAATTTTTTTAAATTCTGATCATGAATCAGAAAGGTCCCGCCCTTTCCTGAAATATGCTTTATGTATTGCAGACCTAACATTATTAGTTAACACAAACCATTTTTACACCACACAATTACTAGGCACATACACACACACACACATGCAACAACTACACAGACACAGAAAACTCGTCTAATGCTTATCGATTAATTTTGGACTGTATATTTTAAATTCTTTAAACACATATTATTTGTTTGTTTTGCTTAATTCTCTGCATTTCTTGCTGTGTCCGTCGTTCCATACATCCATCTTTATACACAAAATTCACTTTGGACCGTTAAATGTACACTTAACGGGCAACTTTCTACTGTCTTCTGCCATCCATCCATTGATCCATCAGAACGCTCAAGATTCCGAGTTCGATGAAATGGAGAAATGGCTTGGTAACCCGGTGAGTAATGATTTGCATATATTAAAGCTTTTTCGTTCAGGAGGGTTTTTGGGGATTCATGAAACTAAATGTGTGCGTGTGTGTGTGTTACTCTTTTTGTCCTAATCTAGGACGACCTGGATAACCTGGACCCGTCCGGTGGCATTGGCAATGGTGGTCCAGAGGAAAGTCTCACCAGTAAGGAGTTTGAAAAGTTCCTCGCCGAACGAGCAGCTGTCGCCGATAACCTCCCGTCGATCTCCAGTCAAATTGGCAGTGGAGGTTCCAACAGTAACACCACCGCCTCGAAAGATCGCAAGAAGAAGGACGACGACGATGGGTTGATGGCGCTGTGAATGGTGTGAGTAGTATTGGTTTTGCATTACCAAAAGGAGCGGGTGTGGGTGGACGAACGGACGGGCGGTTATGGTATGTGATAGGTGTTGTTTGGGGCGGATCGAAGTGGGTCGACAACGTTTCAAAAGTATGTGCTTATTTTCAGTGAAAAAATACGTTATATAGTTGTGACGCGGGATGCAGACCAACACACGGGAGCATTCCTAAAAGTTTTGGGGCTCACAAAGACCCGAAAGCGCCATATTTTACTATATTCGATTAGCTGTGTATTTATATTGTTTTCTTCAGTCGTTGAAAGTTTACCGAAAGAAATGATCGTAACAAACATAAATCTACCATTTTTGCTAGATAAGTATACATTCGTAGTGTTGTGTACCCTCTCCGCGGGGTCTCTAATGATTAAACGTTAAGGTTCGTCACTAGCAACAAACAACAAAAAGAAAATAGCTTAACTACCAATATCCTCTTACAACTTAATAGAAAATCAATTTGAACTCTTGTCTTGTACTCACCTCTTGTAATAGAACAGCAAAATAAAAAACGCAATCACCACTGAGAAAAGCTAAGCAATTCACCGTAAACGAATGCTTTGGCGAGTTTAACACAACAACACACTTGATAATGCTAGTGTCAGAGCACTTTTAGGCCAAATATTACGATACAAAGTTTATAGCCATTGTGTTACATCAAAGTGTACTGAAATTTTATTTCAATGTTTTATTTTTCGTTCTATGTTGTACGTCGACTTATTTCAAAAAGTATTTAAAAATTTTAACTTCAAACGATTGGAAACCAATTATTAAAAGATACTTTTATTTTACAAATGATGATTCGGCCATATAGAAATTATATATGTATACATCTAACTGTTTCGTAGGCTATACCAAACTAGTTTTAACTTTTTACTGAAAACATATTCTGTGAGTACTAAAAACATTTAGAGGAGTCCAACACCTAGCTGATGTTTGCTAGTCGAATGTCATTTTTAAAGTTGGCAAGCATTGAAATTCTCTCAAATCTTGTTGAGATTGCACTCTTTCCTTAGGTACATAAATATGCAATTGGCAGGAACAAGTAAAGTGCTTTCGTTGTCACCGAAATTTTATTTGAAAATAAAATCGATGAGAAATAAACACAGTATATTGCAAAACAGCAAAGCAACACAAACAAAAAATTACCTAACACAACAGATAAAGAACCAATATGATAAAGCTTGGCGGTTTCGTTTTTCACGGAAAGTTAGATATCACAGCCCTTATAGGTATTTTTTTTGACGTAGAACTACGTCTTTGTCGACTATACTGGGGTGCAAATCAAAAAATATGTGTGGTGAAGGAGTGTTAGGTTTTGAACGCTTGTAACTTTATCATTTATAGATGAAATTTAAATCCAAATACGCCAATCGATAGGATATTACATTACAAACTTGCTGAAATAAATATTTTTCCAATTTTTCTGTAATTAAACTTTTAAAAATGTACAAATTATATTTTTTCACTGTGTTCATGAAATAAGCCTTTTTCCCAAACCCAGTCATCATAAACGAATACCACTTGGTTGCACATCATTCTGCTTGAACCTGAAAAGATATAAATCAGCGCTGCTCTGCTAATTATCACTTCAGACTTCGTGGCACTAGGTCCTGCAGCAAGCAGGACTAAGTCAGCTGCCAAAGATGGATGTGGCGTGACCACAATGAAAAATGCGACACAATGAGGAATGAGGAAAAGCAATGTATGTAAACCCCCTTCCCCCTTCACAACAAATTCCCCCTACCTGACAAAAACCTCACCCCCCCCCCCCCCTCAACAACCTCTCCCCCTCCTCAACAATAACCCGAAAAATTATAAGTAAAAACAGAAGTTTTTCCCTTAATTTCTTCCCGTACCAAAACTTTCAAATTTGAAAAAAAAATTGCTTGGAAGACATATTCGATGATATTATGTTGTTGAATAACACACAACTGACTGTAAAACATATCTGGTACCTATATACATGAAATCATATCAACATCCAAAGTCCATCCTTTTTTCCATATTCTACACAAAAGAAACGTTCTGCCTCGCCCCCATTCATAATAAAATGGTGGGAAATCCTGTCAGTTGAGGGGCTTAGAAAGTATGTTTTGTGCAGAATATGTAAAAAAGGAGGGACTTTGGATGTATTTTTTCTGCAAAATATGTAAAAAGGAGGGACGTCGGATGTTAACCTAAACGCATATATCATGCATCATAGATAGAGATAGATAGATATGTTCTACGTCATGCTGCGGTCGTGTCTAGGACACAACCCTTTAATTTTTTAACTAGTTCGTTTATTTACTAGGCTCAGTCGTGTGTGACACTTTGCGGAGCCAAAATCAGTAATGTTCGATTTACATTTTAAATAGCAGTATTTCTAGGTTAGTATTGGGTACCAATTACTCGTGGCGGGCTCGAGGTTAATAGGTAACAATTTCAATTGGAAGGATCTAGGTAGGAAACTGGTTTCTGAAGCCTCCTTCAGATACTACTCTCGGACGGTTGACCAAACCCTGGCTGGGCAGGGGCAAGTAGCACAGGAACAGGAAGATAATAAGGCTGGGACACAATGGCGGGAAATTGTTTGGAAAGGAGGGGATAGTCACATCAAACTCTAACATCAGACAAACAAAGGAATTCGTAGATCGCTTGCATGTAGGGAAGATCACGTGTTCCCAATACATCTCTTACTTCACGGAAGGGTTGTCTACCTCGGGACATTAGGGTATCCAATAGTCGTGCTCTGGAGGCGTCATTACCCGGGCAATACCAAACTGCGTGATCGATGTCATCATAACCGGTTCTGCACCTACATATATTGCTGTCAACGAGGTTTATTCTATAGAGATGTGCGTCTAGCGAGTAGTGGTTGGACATAAGTCTTGACATCACTCGAATGAATCCCCGACTTATATCCAGACCTTTGAACCACGCTCTCGAAGAAACATTTGGAATAATGGAATGTAACCACCGCCCAAGAGAATTATTTGTCCAATCGTTTTGCCAACTTAAAAGAGAACTCTGACGTACTAGTGGGAAAAATTCATCATGTGAAATTCTTCTATCATAAATCTCGCCTTGTTGTGCGCCCACCTTTGCGAGAGAGTCTGCCTTCTCATTGCCTGGGATTGAGCAATGTGAGGGGACCCATACAAAGGTAATCATATATGATCTTTCGACCAGCATACTCATCTGCTCCCTTACCTTTGAAAGGAAATAAGATGAGTGCCTACCTTGTTTCATCGACCGAAAAGCCTCAATCGAACTGAGACTATCCGAGAAGATGAAGTAATGGTCTATGGGCATATCGGAAATCATCCCCAATGCGAAGTTGATTGCTGCTAGCTCAGCAACATAAACGGAACAAGGTTCCTGAAGTTTCCGAAAGGCGGTTGAGTATCCATTGAAGACGCCGAAGCCAGTGGATCCATCAATGCGTGATCCATCAGTGAAAAATCTTCTATTGCAATTGACTTGTTGGTACTTTTCAGCAAAAATGCGGGGAATTGAGATAGGTCGAAGTTGATCTGGAACTCCTTGAATAGCCTGTTTCATGGAGAGATCATAGTCAATGGGGGAACTGTAGTTAGTAAAGCATACACGAGAGGGGTTATAGCAAGGAAGGCTAATATCCGATGACATATAATTAAGATAGATTCGCACGAATCTAGACTGGATGCTCAATTCGAGCATTTCTTCGAAGTTTTCAATCACAAGGTTGTTACTGACACTACATTTAATCAATATTCTTAATCAGAGCTCCTAGAAACGGTTCTGCAGGGGTTTTACGCCCGCTAGGACCTCTAGGCTCATATTGTGTGTTGAATGCATACAGCCAAGGGCAATACGTAAACAACGATATTGAATACGTTCCAATTTGATTAGGTGGCTTTTTCTTGCCGAGTGGAAGCAAAAAGAGCCATACTCAAGAACTGAAAGAATAGTCGTTTTATATAGTTTAATGAGGTCTTCCGGGTGAGCACCCCACCATGTCCCGGAAATTGATCGTAGAAAGTTGATCCTTTGTTGACACTTTTGTTTCAAATACGTAATATGGGTACCCCAAGTGCATTTTGAATCAAACCAGACTCCAAGGTATTTGAAGGTTAAAGATTGGGTAATGTCTCTGCCCAAAAGATTTAGACGCAGTTGGGCTGGAAACCGCTTCCTTGTAAACACTACCAATTCAGTTTTTTGCGGTGAAAACTCGATCCCTAAATTTCTTGCCCAGAGAAACAGATTATTTAGGGAATTTTGCAATGGTCTTTGCAAGATTTCTGCACGTGGACCTCTCATGGAAACCACGGCATCATCTGCAAGCTGTCTAAGCGTGCATTGATTATCTAAGCAGTTATCAATATCTTTGACAGAGAAATTATAAAGTAAGGGACTTAAACATGAACCTTGGGGTAAGCCCACACAGCAAAAAAAAAATTTTGATATCACATCAAAGTGGATGCACTACAATCATGTCGAAAATTTCATGTAATTTTTATGACCACATAAATAAACAAATGTAGTAAAAGCAGCGTAATGTCAGTTCATGCATTGTATTAATGATAATTTTGTCCTTTTTAGCAAGTAATATTACACCATATTTTCGACATGATTGTAGTGCATCCACTTTGACGTGATATCAAAATTATTTTTTGCTGTGCATGTAGCTAATTCTAGAAGTTGTCAGTTGAACTAGATTGAAGGTCATTTGTTTTTCTGACAGCAAATTATACAAAAAAATATTCAAAATACCGGGTAATCCACTACTGTGCAAATTGTCTGACAGTATGTCTATGGAAACCGAATCAAATGCGCCCTTAATATCCAAAAAGACCGAAGCCAATTGCTCCTTGTGCGCAAAGGCCAGTTGAATATCAGATGAAAGCATCGCTAGACAATCGTTTGTTCCTTTACTCTTTCGGAAACCAAATTGCGTATTTGAAAATAGATTGTTTGATTCAACCCAATGGTCAAGTCTTAATAGGATCATTTTTTCTAATAATTTCCTCAGGCATGATAACATAGAGATCGGACGGTAAGAATTGTGATCAGACGCTGGTTTCCCAGGCTTTTGAATAGCTATTACTTTAACCTGTCTCCATGCTGGTGGAACTATATTGAATTCCATAAATGAATTATATAGGTTAAGTAATCGTCTTTTAGCGATATCGGGGAGGTTTTTTAGAAGGTCGAATTTGATCATATCGCTTCCCGGAGCAGAGTTATTCGATGAAAGAAGTGCCATTGAAAATTCCAGTATTGTGAATGGTTCATCCAGAGAACCGTTACTTCGGACTGTATCCCGTAAAGTTGGTTGTGCTGGACAAACCTTTTTAGCGAAGTCGAATATCCATTGGGAGGAGTATTCATCACTCTCATTGGAAGATGAGCGGTTTCGCATATAGCGAGCCTTTTTCCAAAGCGTTGTCATCGAGGTTACTCTAGAAAGTCCCTCGATAAAAGTACGCCAGTAATTTCGTTTCTTTCCTTTAAGAAAGTTTTTAAGCTTTTTTTCAAGCTTTAGATACTTTTCAAAAAGCTCAGATCTTTCATGTCTACGATAATCTTTAAAGGCATCGGATTTCTCAAG